CTTTCCTGAGTTTTCTTGTGTATTTAACATGGTTTACTTTATTTTGTTGTATATGCAGTCGTGACTCTGTTTGACCCGACTCTTTAGTTTGAAGCCAAAGAACAAACCGGAGAAATCTTCAGTTCTGATATGTAGAAATTAGTTCTAAAAGTGCTGCGTTCCACCACTGTGGTTAACACAACAGCAGCCTGCACCGGTTACAGTGACACCAAAACAGCTGAATGATCATCATGCAGTCGCACAAATGTGACCAATTAAAATTTCAACTCAAACAGGCGCCCCTATAGCTCACCTGGTTGAGCGGGCAACCCATGAACAGGGGCTATAGGTCCCCGACACGGCGTTCATGAGTTTGATTCCCGCTCATGACAGTTTGCTGCAAAGTCTCTCCCCATTCTTCTCCCCCCTTTCCTGTCTCACTCTCTCACTGTCCTGACTAATTAAGGCAAAAATGCCAAAAATAATCTTTCAAAAAAATTCAACTCACACACTCTCAAAAAATAGTCATAAATGTGATCACAATGGTCACAGCCTGGAGCCCTGGTCATGGTCTCTTAAATTTGTTAAGAACTGCATATATAGGATGAAACAATATGAACATTTCATCACAACTACTTTGTCAATGAATTAACGACATCTAGATTTAAAGCCACCATGGAGCCTTTTAAGCTGATTTTGTGGTTTGGTTTTGTGTTCGCTGTTGACCAAGTTATCAGAAACACAAAGCATGTGGGCAGTTTGCCAAAGAAAGCTCAGGTTTCATGTTAGTTAAAAATAAAGTCTTGGTTTGAAATTTGCTTTGTTTGTTTTAGTCCAGCTGACTGTCACCTTTTACATTTTCATTTCTCAGTTGCACTACAAGGTCCCTTGCTCCAGAAATATCAGCAACAGCAAGCTTCAGCAGGAAGTGGTCTGTGGCAGACAAACAGCTCGGCTGTTGTTCATATGAAAGTTAAAGAGAGGAAAGGACTTCACTTAAACAAGTAAACCACACTGACGCTCCTGTGGTTTTGTCCCTTGATGCTGAGAGGAGTGAACGCAGCATCACAAACCGGTTGTTCACTCTGTTCCAGATGCTGACGATGAGTGCTGCCAAGTGGATTTTCCTCTTAGCCTTGTGCTTCATACGAGTGTCTTCAAACAGTAAGTCCTTTTGTAAAACTGAAGTCTCACATGTTATTTTGTGAAGTATTCTTATTGACACGTGTGCTACGTCACGTTGAAACTGATGCTATTTACTTTGACATTTTGTTATTAAATGCAATTAAATTCTAAATACTTTCTTCAAGAGTTGTGTTTCTCCCCATGAGCTTGTTAGTGTTGTGTCAGATGCCTTTATGTTGTACATATTTATGTTTTGCTTTAATCACACATACCATTTATTAGCTAATATAGTCATACTTGGCTGGATTTACAGATGATGACTTAGGAGCTGGGATAGACAGGAATCTGGAACATTGAACCTATGTTTGAATGCTGTGTTTTTTTGAGAGCATTTTTTGAGCAGAATTAACAATTTCAACGAGCTCATCAGCAACACTTTTAACGGCGGCTCAGCAACAACATCGCGGGCCACACATGGACACTCTGTGACTTTGTTGCTTGAAATTAGAAAATAGCATAAGTCTCTGCATCCACATGATCAACCTTTAAACGCATTAAGATGGTCAAGCTAAAAGTCATTTATATGTGGCTTTCCCCCAGGGACTCTCCACCACCCAACCCACTGCAACACTATGTACTACTCCGACACTATCGCCACTAACTCACATTCCAATCTACATTTCCCATTTATGTTTAGAAAGAAATGTAAATATATTCTCACTTGTCATGTAGCAGGAAAGCTTTCTAGTTTGGAGGTACATGTGAGTTTCACCCAGGAGACTGGGATTTGTGTCCCATCGTGGACCAATATTTTCAGAATTTTTTTATTTTCAGAGTTTTGTTTTCACTTCGTTTTCACTAACATTTAAGTTTAGGCCAAAAAACGCATGTTTAGTTTTAGGAACATACCATTAGGTTTAGGTTCAAATCTGCCCCTTTCATTACATCAGTTTGAAGTTTCTGCCTGATTTTGTATTTCACCAGGGTGATGAGTCCCGTCCCATCCATCATGTGCTTTTTTTGGCTGAAAATGAGCAGTAATACATTGAATGAACGTTTAGTGTCTCATCCCAGACGTTCATTCCACTAAACTTANCCCACAGGTACGGCTTTGAAGGGGTGATCCTGTCCATCTACGGGATGAACCGCTCAGAGCTGGAGTGTCCAGGGAAGGTGTGCAAGTTCCAACAGCCTGAAGAGGTCCTGCAGCTGTTGGATGTGGAAGATGCGAAGCTCTACATAGATTTCATCGTCCTGGGCGTCTTCTTCATCATCCTGCGACTGGCCACTTACCTCGTCCTCCGCTACAAGGTCAAGTCTGAGAGATAGGCTTCGCTCGGCCCATCTAACCTAAACTCACAGTCCTACCTATTGTCATTCCAGACGTGGACTCTCTCTGTGCACAGAGAACATGTCGTGTCATGTGGGAATTTGTTTTCATTTCATTTTACTCATTGCTGCTAAAAGGACAGAACATAAATCCTGATTCTGTTCTCCTGCCAGCAGCTGTGGAGGTGACGGTGCAGAGCAGTGAGGAGTCAGCTTATAATCCACATACACCTGTTTTACCTCATCATGACTTAACTCGTGTGCACAAAGATACATCAGCAGTGAGGAGACTGAGCCACATTCAGCAGCGTATACCGTACACTCCATAAGAAAGAAATGTATTGAGAACGAGGCAGACGTGATACAGTAGCAGAACGGACACGCGTGTTTGTTCTACACTGTGCTGCTGTTCTGTGTTTGGACTTTGGTCCACAAAACTGCCCCCCCTTGAGAAAACAGAGTGTTTACATTGCTCTTATAGCCAAAAACCTGCGGCTAAACTGTTGCACTGGAGAAGAAGTGTGATGTCTTGTGCCTGAAAGAGTGAAAATGATTGAGCATTTTTCAGTGATAATCATGGGATCATTACATATGTACGCTGTGTGAAAGCAGTTTATTTTTGTTCTATATTCTTGTTGTCATGTGACTGAACTCGGGCAACAGTCCCAGTACATTTACTTCCAATCATTGTTTGAGCTAAATTGTTTTTTAACATGTTGATAGTTGTAAATTAAGCTTTACTATGATTGCCTAAAGAAATTTGGTATTTTTTGTACTTCCATAATATGATCTAAAATCGTTTAAATCTTAGTTGCAATAATAAAGAAAAAAAAGTTAAGCCTTAATCAGTTGACACTGTGCTGTATTATCTTTAGTACTCTATGCATATGCAATGATATTAATGTATTTAAGCAAAATAGATGAGTTCATGTACGGTTATTGTTTTGTGTCCACTCCACTAAAGCCACAAGGACACAACATGCTCATGCAGTCATGTTTGGTGCTATCTGAAGTTTCATGTTTAGTTTGAAATACATGTTCAATAAAAAATAAATATGTATGCATCTGGACTGCACATTACAAAGATACTGAGCACTTAGAGAGCAACCAAAGAGAATTCAATGTAAGTGGAAGTACGTTACAGTGTGTTACCTGTTTTGTTTATATGTGTATTAATTCGTTCTTGGTTGAAGCATATTCTTACAGATCAAACTGTAATAGTACTGTACAGCTATTTACACTGACTGATATTCCAATAAACACTGATCTCACTTATTCAGTAACTGAAGTTTGTTTATTTAAAAAACAAAACAGTTTTGCTTGTCTTGGAAATTCCTGGAAGACCTCTACAGAAAAGTAATCACTTGCCTAAATCTCCTCAACCAGCTCCACTCCGAGATCCTTCCAGAGGCCTGAGCTGTACGTCCGTCCCTCATCCAGTGCAGGAACCTTCGACCGTGTTCTCAAAACAGCAACCACTCCCACAGAACCTCTTTCAGAGCTGTTTTAAGGGGAGAAGAAAATATTTACTGCAGGGTTGGTAGTTCTGAGCAGCCCTTAAAAAATATACGATGCAGTTCCCAGCATCCATCCATCCATCATCTATACACCTTAATCCTCACTAGGGTCATGTAGGGCTGGAG